TGCTTGAAAAGGACCGGACTCTTTATTCTTCCTCATTTTGTACACTGTTTTTAAATTTATAAATTTATATATTTAGGGCTCATTTGAATCATTTACTTTTTTTTTTTAATAAAAACTAAATTATATATAAATAAATATCTCGAACTTTATTCAAAAATAATTTATTATTTAAATGTTCCAAAATTTATTAAACGTGCATTATTTTAAGCATTTAAGCCACCGCCACATCATTTCTAATTATTGTCAAAATTTGCACTTATTTTGTCACCCTTTCTTAATAATATTTTTATCTTATTTTAAGACATTTGAGTAAAAATTAAAAACTTAGGCAACAAAATGAAGAAACTTATGATAAAAATTAATTTAATTCCATATTTTTATTGAATTTATTCAAATTTCCAAAAACTACCTATAATGAAAACATATATCTAAATTAATAAGAATACCCCTTAACTTTATATATATAACTAGAAAAATAAGATGCGAGTCTAAAACGGTCAAAATCAAAATCAAAATGATTTGAATGTTGAACAAAGTCTTCCACAAAGCTTAATCATTGAATATCAAGAAAAAAACATTAAATAAGAGCAATACACAGACTTCCCAATTTACCCAATTGTAATAACTCAAGTGTTATAGGTATAGGTGTCTTACCTCACAAAAAAAAAGGGATTTTCTCAAAATTGTGTCAATCTCTAGGTAAAGTGGCAAGAAAGAATTGAACAGCTCTCAGAACTACAGACCTTCTTCAACTTACAAGGGCAAATGATTCCTGCAACTATCTTTACTCGGTGATCCCAGAACCTGCATTTTCGACATCGACTTCTCCCATTCCAGTGTCTTCCTCTTCCTCACTATCCTCATCGCCACTGATCTCTTCGTTGTCTTGTCGTAGCTTCGCCATGTGCTCAGCAAGTAATTTGTCGTCTCTTTCACTCACCTACAATAGTAATTGGACAAGATTGGATGTCAGCTGATGAAACGGATGTAACCATTGATATTAAATGTGAACAGATGTTGAGACTAACCGCTCTAGGTGCCTCCTTCACTACAAGCTTTCCCTTGTGATGCTCGATTGCCTCCGTGCAGGCAGTGATTGCTTTTTCAAGAACAGTGATTCCTTGCTCCTATTCAACACAAAATAACAAATGAATAACTTAAACAAAGCTGCCAATCGAAAAACGTAAAATAGTCGAAAACAATTTGAACACGTCAAGTGGTGGCATATGTAGTCATCAGTATTCCAGATATATGGTTCTTATCTAAAAATACCTTCGATCTTAAAGACTCGAGACCAATCATGTTACTCTCATCGCCAAGCTCATCCCAAAAGAAGAAAGGGGAAGAGAAACTTTTTGGTTGGAGACGAAAGAAATTAAGAAGTCACCAAATTAAAGAATATTAAGAACATCTCGAGCATTTTTTCTTTTCAAATAACCAAGGTGTTTGAGAGTTCACTCCTTGCATTATGCTCATAGCTCACATCCACAAAATGCTAGAGAAAAGCTTGCCTAGCCCCATGTCAGTTCATAAGACAACAAGCTTTTTTAAGTGATTAAATTTAGAAAATCCAGATTCTTAAAGAGTACATATCACCAGAGATGAATATATATATAGATGTTCAGGAGATTGATAGTTGGAAAATTCTTTGTATCTCAAATTGCAAATATCTCCATGAATAACAGACAACAATTCATCACATCATGGGAGGACTGTACTAACCTTGTCAAGTGTCTGGGTCGTAAGAACATAGAGTGGAGGAGCAACCAATTTAATCTTAACAGGACAATCATCATTCCCAGCAGCCTCAGCTTTCCGCATTGCTTCCTGCAAAATTAGGTAAGTCCGTGTTTACATTTTTCATGAAAGAATTTCAACGAGGAAAACAAATAAAAATCAGAGAAGCTAAAAGTAGTCAAACAAAGACCTTAATGTGAAGAACACCATCAAACTGGAAACACTTCATCTCAATATCAGCCCGAACCTTCAGGGGTTGAGGAGTCATTCTTCTTCTAATATTTTTTATGAGCGCATCTTTTACATCCTCAGACATTGCGGGAACTACCTTAGTTACCTAAAATACAAGACTAAGTTAGAATGTAATCCAAACTTAGGGAATAGCACCTCAATTTTCTTGGACCAATGCTACCTCTTGCCCATCAGGACCAGCTTCCTTGACTTCACGGGTGAGAGAATTCAACACTGTATCAGGATCAGTTACAATAACCTTGAATGCCTGAACAAAAGATAATTCAATTCAAGTTCAAGCCCCTAAATTCTTCCAGAAGATAAATTGTTCTCTTAGCACGCAAACCAAAAAACATACCTCAAAAGCATGACCATATTTCCGGTATAGTGGCCAGCCAACATGGATATACAAGTCCTATAAGAAGAATGAAATCACCTTAATATAATAATTTAGCATTTTGACAACCTTGCTTTAATTCAACAGAATATTAAGGCCTTGGAAGATCTTCACATAAAGAAGCATTTTGCATCTTTATTTTTTTTTTCCTGTGCTTGTGTGCATGAGAGGGGGGGAGGGCAGATTCTGGAACACGCACAAGATATAAAAGTCACACAAAGTCATTGTGGCATGTGCCTCAAAGAATTTTTATATAAACTTAATGCATATTCTTCAAGATATAAAAGTCCAAATATGAACAAGAGCTGTGGTTATTTGGCCTTTTACTAACTTTACAACTAATGCTTAATAAAGTACAAAAAATAAAAATTAAAGAAAAGCTTAATCCTATCAATGATAATAATGATGATGAGAATGACCTTTACAACATGATGGATGTGTTTACTAGTGCATGGCTTACCTTTTTACAATTTTTATCATTATTATTATTATTTGTATTTACATCAATGCATACACCACATAGAGCTTCAAGTCTTATGCCTCCCCTTCTAAAACAAAGCCTCGAAGCCACCTTAAGAAACTAGTGATGAGTGTCCTGAATTTAAACCCAAGAAAATGGTGATTGCCATTTGCCATGAACTTGGTGATCAATGTGTGCCCCATTGCACAAGGAATATGCATTTGCTCACCCTTCACTCATCACCGTGTGCTTGAATTCATCGCAGAAAAATTGAATAACACAATCTTGGCTAGTTTTAAGCCCTTCACCAATTGTTAAATACCTGCCCCTTCAATCCGATGTTGTTAATCCATAGGAGCCAAATCCAACTCTCTTCGTAAACTAAGGAACTTTTTTCTACATATCTATGTATCGAGTAGTCAACTTAGGCACGCCCCACTAATTAACCACAAGAAACTATTATATTTGGTTGTTGTCAAGAAACACGCAGAATTTTTAAAGTCAAAGGCGACCACTGGCCACCATAGTTTTGAACCACAGCCTAGGAGAACTTCACCTTCCCTTTCCCTACTCCAATAATAACTAGGTCAATTCAGAGTGCTTACACGTATAATATTAATTAACTCAAACAAAAAGAATACACGAAAACAAATTCAAACATCACCCAAGAAACTAAAACTTCAACGAACTCCTAAAACAGCCATCAAAGCAATACAGCCAATAATGAGAAAAAGCGCCAGCAAAAAGAAAGCCAGAAAACGAGAAACTACCTCCAAATCAATATTTTCAGTCTCAGCAACATGGCGCATTATAGAGTGAACAAGCTTGCTCTTGTTATACCTCTCCTCACATGCCTGAATATCCTCCTCAGAAACCCTCCTCTTACTCAAATCAATATACCCCTTCTCCTTATCGACCCTGAGGACCATGACGGGCTCGATTCGACCGACCCTAATTAAGCTGCTGACACTACGAATACGACGGCGAGAGAGCTCGGAGAAGAGAATCATACCCTCGATGTTGTTGTACTCAAGAAGAGAGACGTAAGCGCCCATGTCAGCAATGTTCTTGACCTGGATCATGACGGCCATGTCGACCTCAGGGTACTTGGCTTCGTACATCCGACACTCGAGATTAGGGGAATGGGAAGCCATAGTAGAGAGTATTTCAGAGAATTGAAGGATTCTGTGAAGAAGGGTTTAAGAGAAGAAATGGGGTTTTCTTTTGGGGGAATTTAGGGCTAATTGTTAGAGAGAGAGAGGGAGTTTGATGGAGAAGATAGAGAATTTCAGACAATGGAATTGAGGCTTCTTTTTTATGGGAGGGGAGATTAGGGGGAAAATGAGAAATTGAGGGGTTTAAATGCAAATAATGAAAGAAAGAGGGGGTGGGGGGTGAAAGAAAGCGTGCATCTGACGCAAGAAACAAATGAAGAAAGATTAAAAAAACAACAAAAAGCGTCGACAGCAGGATTCGAACCTGCGCAGGCAGAGCCCAACAGATTTCGAGTCTGTCTCCTTAACCACTCGGACATATCGACGGAATTGAGGAACATCAGACTAGTTTATTATAATATTAACTAATTAAAAAACAAGCGGAACACTTCCAGAAATAAATTATTTAATCACCAGGTCTTTAAAAAAAGGTTTTTAATTACCTCATTTTACTTGAATCAATTAAATTTAAGTATATATTTTACACTTTTTATTTACAACCAAATTTTTTAATTTTTAATTTTAAGTATATATTTTAATTAATTGAATTATATTATTTTTGCTAATTAGAAAAATTATTTGTTGCAAATCAATTTACTCAATTAAATATTGGTACGACCAAGAAAGTTACAAATTAAGTTTTTGCATTATTTATTGCGACTAAGAAAGTTATAAATTAAGTTTTTGCATGAATAACTGCGTTCTTAAATGATTTCAAAAGTTTAGGATCTAAGTGCTTTCTTTATTTTGTTAACTTGATATTTGCATCATGAGTATGGAATCGAACCTTCAACTTTTGATGTAATTGGTTAACGAGATATGCAAGAATTGACAAAGTCTCTCTTCATTACCATAACCATACCATAGTTATTTTAATGACAGATATTTTAAGAGTTCGGACAATTATGGTAGAAGAATGAACAAGCTCAATTCTTTCTTAGTATATACATACCAGGTTACGTATTGTAAAGAGTAACCTAATCTAGTATGATTTAGGAGTACAGAAGGTGAAGCACGTGCCTTGTGTGGTAAAACAAAACATCCAAGCAAATGCCAAATGCTCAATGTTGAGTCTAAATCTTTGAATCAAAGACGTGTGAAACAGATGCAAGCTCAAGATCCAGATAAAATGAAACTCGAAATTAGCACGGAAAACGAGTAAACTCCTGCCTACAAGTAAAACCTGGGTTTGGAGCCTGTTGATTATATGCACATTAAGAAAACAATGTCAAAGACAAAGATGTATAATTAGTAAGCACCATCTATTACAATTCAACTTTTCGGGGTTGTTTATCGTCATTGCGTGGCCCGAAGAGCCAACGAAACAGTGAGAACTTACTCGTTTCAGGCTCCGACGCAGGTTCTTCAAGATTTGCAGCGCACAATGTGTTGAAATCATGCTTGAGATGAGGTGCTACAATTTTCTCCTGGAAAGAGAGGAAAAATTTTAAGATCATCACTAAACAAGTGGTGACCGTAAACTCAATATGGATGTAAATAATTATAAAAGGCTCGATTAATAGATTAGGATCTATTCTTGCAATTATGTGTGCCCTGTACATTATTTCATCTAAAAGCTCGGTTTCTTGATATGTATGGTGTGTGTGTGTGTGGATGTGGTAATTTTACCTTGAAGTCTTTGAAGGAGCAAAAATCCGAACCATCACAACCCTATTCAAGAAAATACAAAAGATTAGTAAGAATTGTAATATGAACAAGGTAACAGGTCAGCTCGAGAAGTGAACTAAAGGAAACTTTGAGATGAAAATCCACAATTAGCCATTGCGAATTGAACGATCAATGAATGTAGATCTTGTGAAACTAGCAGTAGTAACATTTAATTTCAGGCATTTTATGCATTGGTGACAAAAGAATGGAAATTTTATGGAAGTCCAAACATGAACTAAAAATAAGAAATGGGTTGCCTTAGGAATGGAGAGGATGCTTACCGGCATTGCTATGGGTTCTTCATTATGCAAAACTCGCACGAAGTACTGATCCGACGAGTTAGCGGGGCAGTTATAGAGAACAAGCATGTTATTCCCAGCAAAAGGTGCAACAGCGCTCCCCTTCCATATTCTACTAGCTGGAGGCCGTGGAGGAAGTTCCAAAGGCTGCTCCCTTTGTATTTTTGTGAAATCTGTTATATTCAGGTAACAAAATTTCAAAACTAAGAAAGGGACTGCCACAGACACGCATAATTTACAAGTTATTAAAAGCACTTACCAGGTCCTTCGAGGAAGAGCCCGAGCAAACATGTGAATGGAAGCACAGTTTCGGCATGAGCAAAACGTAGTCTTGCCTTCTCGTAGCTGCCAGGAACTTGCTTTTCTACCAGTACAGAACATGAAAAACTTAGAAACAGTAAGACAGATAAGAAACACTACTTAATAACTTCCACCATTGGCCATTCAGAATTTCAATTGGAAAAAGAAATGGGAACTTGATTATTAAAAAGAAATTGTGTGGTATTTTGTTTGGGGTGAAAAACTGAACTTTCATTGAGATAAATGAAAGAGAAGAGGAAACCTAGCAGACAATTAAAAAAGTCGTTTGAAATTGCCGCAGAAACTAAGCCATTAAGCCTAACACTCAGGCCACACATCCTCCCAAGATGTCAGAATGGAACTCAGTCATCTGACACGAAAATTTATAACTAAAAGCAAATGATACAAAGGTATGCGGAGTGTGAACAAGAAAATAAAAAGCAGCAGATGTATAAATATACCTTCTTTGGCCTTGATAGCTTGCTCCATGGATTGAACAATATCTGACAACAAAGGAACTCCCATTTTATAGTTTAATGAATTACCATAACCCTTCAATATAAACACCTCCACATCATCCGTCCACTCCAACAAAGCAACCTGAGCACGTAGAAAAAGACTGCAAGCTGAGAATCATGAAATGCAGAACCACCAAACATTATAACTGCAGCATGCTAAGCTAAACCCAAAATCATTCAACAAAAGATTCTTTTATGAGTAGATTAGAAAGAACTGGAAAATCTGGTTGGATTAATAGAAAAATATTCCCTGGTGCAAGCTAACCTCACATATGAGCTCACTGGCTATTGAAGAAGGACACCACACTCCTGGTGTACTGCCTTCCTAGTTGTTAGAAAAGCAGTATGCTGGTTTTGTTGGCAATAACATTCAAAAGCTTTATAGATTGATCAATTTCAATGAAGTTAATTTGTTATACCGTCTTTAGATGAATATTTAAATTCTCTTTGTTTTAATGGTTTACTTTGAATTTGATATCAATGCTTAAATACTTCTTGTAGTTCTTTGAAACGTAGGTTACTTCAAATTCATATGAGGTCAGAATAATTTTTTAAAACAATTTTGTTTATGAAGGATTTTGGTCTCAGTCTTTCACATGTTTTCTGAATTGCACAGTTTTTACCTTTTCAATCGTGTATAATTCCTAATTTGATCAATTGGACACTTTGTTTGGACTTCTTCCTGAAAATCTCATAAAATCACTCCTACAACGCTCATAACGTTCCTAGTGTTCTTAACTTCCAACTTAATTGGAGCATAAATCTTGTGATAATAACTGTCATAGTATGTTATTACAACCATGATTGTTTTCCTGGATGCCAAATTGAACTCATCAAGGAATTTAGACATTCGTATGAGATCATTATGGAGGCTTATTCTCCTTGAAATAACCCCATAACCTAGCACTTTGACAGTGAAACTTTCAAGCTACATAGACTTCCTTTTAGCATCACTCTACGAGTGCTATTGGGATGTTTTTAAATTTAGTCCAGGAAGAAGATTAAACACTCCAAAGAATTCAGTAGACAATCGACAAACAAGGAGCTCATCCAAAAGGAAGGGTGGCAATGAAAACTGACGGCTAAGAAATAGGAGAGGACTTCTTATTTTTTAGCCTAAACCAACATTTGATCGTGTTGTGAATTTTAATTTCTAAACGTGACCCATGGATGTAGCTTCACAGAAATATAGCCACGTTAAAACATCTCATCGTCCATTTCTTTTCTCTCAACCCTTAGTTCTTATAAGAAGCTGTATTTCTCTCCAATTAATTGTAGCTTGATTTCCCATCTTTTCCTTTTTCCATATAAGTTTGAGCCAACTGCAAGCCTTTCAGATTTGTATTTAGGAAACTAGAATACATACATACATACTCAGATTTTCTGTTCCTTCTAGTAAAGCTTAATTTTGGCAGCTATATGCATAAGGAAATGCGAATAATAAGCTAAGCCTCCTCGTCAGGTATGAGTCTTTAAAATACATTTGAAACCAATCCTACTATTGGTATGACAGTAAATAAATCCCATTGAGATAATAATTCAAATACCTCGGAAGGGCTGAACAGTCCACAAGCTTGATCCGTTATGTCCAATAAGGATGCCTCCTGCAGATGATAGAAGAGAGTAAAAAATTAACATTAGAGTAAAAACAAAAATGTATTACATTAAAAATAATTGTAGAGCTACAAAAGGACAATGGGTTCTCTTAGAGTCATAAACTTCTTTTTAAAAAAAATGTCCATCTAGAAACAAAGAGAAGACAGAGGGTTGAGGGGAAAATAACTGAAGACCAGACATTTCTTCACCAACAATAAGTGAAAATTTAACCCATTTTCAATATTATCGTAAATTAAAGATTTTCTTGTTACTTTCCAAATACATAAACCAAGAATTAAAAAAATGACCTTAAATTTCAAAATACATTTTTAATAGTCATGCCAAGGTTTTTTTTTTTTTTTTTTTTGCAATTCTACGTAGTTTAGATTACATGTTTAGAATCCAAGATCAGTCTTGCTTGTGGAGTAATTCGAATCTCAAACAAGTTCTTGCCTTGAGATATTTGATCAACCGAACCTGAATATTTTACGAGGGACTTTAACTTTCTGTGTTTAAGTGCATTTATGAAGAATCACCTGCTTACAGAGAAACCAAAGAGATGAAATGTGCTGCCGTGTAAAATTCAGACTATAACGTTCACTGAGTGACTTAGTTATATCATCAAGTACAGGTTCTTTGAGCTTGTCGACAGCAGGTTCCTGATGCTTCCTATAATCCTGCACAGAAAATTGATAGTGATCAGTGACATCAACCAGTCAACAATTAAAAATCTATTTTAATACTTGGATGATTTAAATGTAGTTGGCATGAGTGAAAATTGATTCCCCATTACAACTTTAGATTAAAAAAAAAAAACAAATTTTCATCTAAGTAATGAAAGAGCTAAACGGAAGGGAAGCCTCCAAGGAAAATGAGGGTTCAGAAATTCCCTCAAATATCAGTAATGGATAGTCTAAAAAAACAAAAAAATTATGAAGTTTGCATCAAAAGCCAGCAGAAAACAGGGATGAGTAAAACTTCTCCCCGTTCAACCAAAAGGTCTGTGATTTCTCTAAAGCCATGTATTTCTCTTAGCAAATCTAACCAAAAGAGACTGCCCTCCTTCTTGGAGGGTTGTGCCAGTAGAACGATATGAAGGTCGGCCAAAATTTTTCAATGGAGGGGCATAACCCATCCAAAATTGCCAAGAAGAGAACTCCCAGAAAAAAAACATGGGAAAGGAACAGTGGACAAAAAGGTGGCTTTTTGATTCTGAGTTTTGCTAGCAAATATAGCATCACTTGGGTAGAGATCAATGGCTATTATATATACAGGCAACAGCCTGGTTTATTTTTTCATTTTCATTTTATTTTTAATTCATCACCACATAATCACAAGTTTTGAAGACCTTGAAGAAATAGACAGCATGAAGAAAAACAGCTGAAAAATAGACATTTTAATACGTGTTCAGGAGGGTATAAGTGCTTGAATATCACGCATAAACTGACACATAACAACAACAGAAGTTCAAAACCGTAAACAAGAACATGATTTTAATGATAATAATAATACGCATTCAAATTTTGGCCAATTTAGACCATATCAATCAGAAGACAATCAAGAATTCACAATTACCTCGTATCTTTGACAACAATCAAAAAACCTAAGCATGGTATCACTGGCACGGCTCTCGCTGATGACAGAAAAGGCTCGATGATGATCTGATCCAAGGCTTCCTCGCCCACTAAATAGCCCCATACCATATGCCACAGCACTAGCTGATGCTCGAGGAACCTAATTATTTATGGAGGAATGAGAATAAGCATACTGATTCTAGTTCAAACAATAAATGGAACTCCAAGTCTACAATTTCCCAGTCCAACAATAATTAATGTGTAACAAGTAAAATTGGAGGTACACAACAAAAACAGTGCCAAACAGGAAATAACCTGAGTTGCTTTAATGGTATAAACTTCCGGGTGATAATCATCGCTAAACAAGTCAGGGAACATTTTTCTTGTTCGGATTCCAAGATCATACAATTCTTCCTCTCCTTTAGTAATTAATTCTCCACCCTTGACTTTTCCTCTCCAAGGAGATTTCCACAACTTCAACCAGGAAGGAAGTTTATGCAGAGACAACCCATTTTCTACTGCCTCTCTTATAAGCATCTCCAATTGACTTTCCAAGTTATTCAACTCTCGAATACGTTTTTTGGTTGGAGCACGAGTTCCATGCCTGGCCTGAGAAAGAAAACCATAAACCTATAAATTTCTTTGGAATATTTAACTTTCAAAGAAATCAAGTCTAATAAAGTCTTCTTATTAGAAAGCAAGAACACAAATTTCCAGTTAATCATACAAAAAACTCTGTAATAGAATCCCAGGTTATGCTATAAAGTATTAGTAGATTCAGTTACACACCAAACAAACATACTTTCTGAAACAAACCACGGCAGGAATTGAATCTTGCATACATACCTCCCCTACAATTAACTACTATTATGGTATCATTTACAAGCAACTTAATACACATTGAACAAATAACAAACTGTTGACTGTTGAATCTAGTGGTATGGCGGAAAGATGGGCATACACCCTAATCATTCAAGCCTCTCAATAAAATTCTGAAATATAGATCCTTTACTTTAACCTAATGTTTTTATGCTCATGGAAGGAATAATTCCCTATTAAGAAAAAGCATGAAAGATAATTGACTAAATGGTTCTTGGAAACCAATAATTTTGAAATGTAGCTTACCACAAGATTTAAATGAATAGGAACACATCCATCAGGCGCGGAAGCATAGTTACTATCATGAACACCTTTCGAAGCACCATATCTGTCCAGAATGATCAAAATTAGAAGTTATGTTTTACGCTGTAACACTGAAGTTCATGACTATTGAAAACCGCATCACGCTTCCACATAGAACATAAGGCATTGCCTTTTTTTAAACAAACTTTTTGCTTATATTTGAAAAGTTACAAAAATATTAGACACGCGAGCCCCTCTAGGCTGCACGCAAGTTGCTAGCAGCCTAGGAATACAACAATAAATAAAGTTTCCTGAATATCAAACGAGTAAGCCTCTCAAGAAAAATCAAAATTGCAACCTCATTACAAAAAAGCTATTCAATTACAAATAACCACATTGATTGAATAATTTTTCAAAGATCTGGAGAAGGCGATCACTATTACATATAGTGGCAATCTAAAATCTGGTTGCCGGAACTTGTAATCCCTTACGCAACCCGACCAATCAAGTTCCTCCACCAAAATCGAGACGTGAAAAAAAAAAAAAAAAAAACATACGTGATAAGGCCATTGACTTTCTTTTCAGAGTTCAAGGAACTTGAGCTAAATCTAAAAATGTAAGGAATCAATCTTCCTTTCACTCGTTCAATTCGAAACAGTAATGTCCAAATCCGCTTACAAAAACACATCGAGATCAAAAGATGTTGCTCATGAAAACAATCACCAATCACCAATCACTCACATAAACACTTAAATCCACACACACACACACACACACACAGATGGGCTGAAAAGAAACCAATTTGAACAGCAGAAAAATCGCGAAATGAGTGAGAAAGATGATTGAGAGAGAACCTGGTAACGGTTGATAGATGTTGCTTGATACCGAACGATACTTCTTCCGCTACAGAATTAGTGAACAAGAATAAGAAAAGTAGAAGAAAACCCGCCATTACAGTTTGCTTCGCTCCTGCCGCCTATCCGTGCCCAGAGAATTCAAGAATATATATAATATAACGGAAGGGAAAGCACCGAAAAATTCTCTCCCAACAAATGTGAATTAAAAAAATAAAAAATAAATAAATACAGAAGGGGTTTTTTCTGCAAACGCGGCAAGGCACGACCGAAAGTTAATTGGCGCTATGACGTGGCTTCTCACTTTTTCCTCTCTTTTTTTTATACAATAAAACAATTTGAATCTTAATCAGGAAGGCTTGTTAGGTCAGATTTATTACAACAATAAAACAAAACAAGGTTTGATTTGTTTACAAATCAAATATTTAATAATTTGATCAAAAACTTATAAAATTCAACCAGGTTTGAGCAATAATATAGTTTTTTATTTGTTCTATTAATTTTATATTTTCAACAATAATTAATTATAAAATTAAAAAATCTCGTAACATGTACATGAAATTAAAAGTTTAGACTAAACATTAATACAACAACAAAATCGGAGTAAATTTTCATTTCCCCTTATATTTATATACAACAGTGCACGTAAAAATTATCCTTTGAAAAATTGGGTATGTCGACAAGGTTTTGTCAATAAAACAAATTGTAAAAAATCTTAGATTGACGTTTTTTTAGACTTTTCTCAATGCATCAACAAAAACACCGTGTAATTGAGTGGATAAAGTAGTATGGGGTGTATAATTAACCAAATAACCTGAATCCATCCAACCTAGGTTATAAGGGTTGGGTTGGATACGTCGAGGGGGTCTAGGTTCATTATGGTTAAACTATTGGTTAAACTATGCAAAATGTAGTTGAAACTTTGAACCTTTTACGTTAAATTGGGCCTGCCGTAAGCCCAAGCCCAAGAACCCAAACGATGTAGATTCAGTTCTTCCACAAAGCCCAGCCCAAATCTTAATGACATACCAGTTATTGGCCCAAAAGCTTTGCCCTAATTTCAGTTCTCTCTCTCTCAAATAACCTCCATTCTACTCTGTTGGCTTCAAGCTTTCATGTAACATAGTACCGCCATTGGTCCAACTCCTTTCTTCGCGTCTGCAGAAGCTTTAGCTCACTCCCCGCAGCCGCCAGCGGCAATCTCACTTCCGTCGAACTTCGTTTTGGAAATATGGTCAGTGGATCTCTCTACAAACTCTCTTCTCCTTTGCTTGATATGATATATCCATTTTCGTTCTAGGTTGAGATGGTCTATACTCTTGTTTCCATCTCCATAGTGATTTTTTTGTTTGTTATGTTTGTATCGTTATTAGGTGATTCGATAGCATTCGATTTTTTTAATGCTATCTGTTTGAGACTTGCGAGCTCTAACCTGTAAAACCACTACAGTAAAGGGTTCGGCTCATTCATCCACGATTCTCGAACTCTCACTCTCAACTGGGTTTCCAGTGTTCTATATGTTCGCATTATTTAGGTTTTTTTTTTCTCTTTTTTTGTGAGAATTGTTGTTCATATAGGAATTACGGGCTCAGAGATGTCTATCAACTGCCTACACGAGTTATTTTCGTGATATATTGCCCTAGAGTGTGTGGATGAGTTCTGTTCTGCCATCCATCATGTAAATTTAAGTTCACCATTTAATTGAATCCCAAAAACACAATTAGTTTGGTCGTCCCTCAATCCCTATTCATCCGCATATTTTTGTTAACTTTCATTTCGGTGTTCAGAATTGTTAAACTTGCGTATGAAATTAATGTCTATGGTTTTGACAGGCAAGAGGGTTGAAGAAGCATTTGAAGAGGCTCAATGCTCCCAAGCATTGGATGCTCGACAAACTTGGTGGTGCATTTGTGAGTGAAATATATAGTTCCCGATTCAGTTTACTTTTTCATTTAGCTTCACATTTTGCTTGTTTCTGACATCTAGTTCTACCTTTTAAATACCTTTATAGGCCCCCAAACCTTCATCTGGACCACATAAATCAAGGGAATGTCTCCCATTGATCCTTATCTTGCGAAACCGATTGAAATATGCTCTCACATACCGTGAGGTCATTGCAATATTGATGCAACGACATGTATTGGTCGATGGGAAGGTTAGGACAGATAAGACCTATCCTGCTGGATTCATGGGTATGATCACCTCAAAAATTGTATTTATTGCCATTGTTTCGGTTTCAATATTTATTGAGCATTCTCTTAATTCCCATTATTTCGCAGTTGTTAGAATAGCTGTCTAAATTTAACTTGATTCATTTCTTTCATATGGGGTATTGTCTTCCATAAAAGAAAATGTGGGCTCTTCTTTTAGTTCCAGTGCTCCCCCTCACCCTCCTAATTATCTACTACCCTTATGTTGTTGTATGTCTTTGTTTTCCACTCCTCTCCCTATTCTTCTTAATCAAAGTCAAAAGAACTTTGAAATCTATTCTTTTCCCATAAGAAGTATTGTCTGAAACAAATGAGGTGGAGTATATGGAATGCATCTTCAACCTTTCCAGTCAAATTTCCATTTCCAAACAGGATACTTAACAGTAACCCAATATACAATATGTTCCAACGATTTGATTGTCTACTCTCATCAATATTATTATCTTGGCTTTGTCTTTGTTGCTTAATATGTGATCCGTTTATTATTTTAGATACATTTTAACTATAATGCTTTTGCTTCTTTTTGTTTTAGATGTTGTGTCGATCCCCAAAACAAATGAGAATTTCCGGCTCCTCTATGACACGAAAGGCCGATTCCGTTTGCACTCAATCAGGGATGAGGAGTCTAAGGTTGGTTAGTTGCTGTCACTTGCATGGAGCTCTGATCTGTTATTTCTTATGACAATCCTGTTGTATGAAATCTATTTTAGTATGACTCTGATATTGTTTTTGCAGTTTAAGCTCTGCAAAGTTCGCTCAGTGCAATTTGGGCGGAAGGGAATCCCTTACCTGAACACTTACGATGGACGTACAATCCGTTATCCCGACCCCTTGATCAAGGCAAACGACACCATCAAGCTGGACCTCGACTCAAACAAGATCGCTGATTTCATCAAGTTTGATGTCGGAAATGTTGTGATGGTGACCGGTGGAAGAAATCGTGGACGAGTCGGAGTAATTAAAAACAGGGAGAAGCACAAGGGAAGCTTTGAGACTATTCACGTTCAGGATGCAACTGGGCACGAATTTGCCACTAGGTTGTGCAATGTCTTCACCATCGGGAAGGGGACGAAGCCATGGGTATCCCTTCCCAAGGGCAAGGGTATCAAACTATCCATCATTGAAGAGGCCAGGAAGAGGCTTGCCAGCCAAACCGCAGCCACGGCTTAAGAGTTTGAGTACTGTAGTAGTAGTCATGATTTGAAGACAGTTTTTGTCAAATTTTTGCACTCTTTTTAATTATTATTACGAGTAAAATAGATCTTAAGACTATTTAATTCTACTAGAAATGTGATGAACACACTGCCTTCTATGATTTTGTTGTTGGAAAACACCGTTATAATATAGACTGAAATTTTTTTTTTTCCATTGAGTATCATGTAGTCTGTCAAATTTCTCCATTTTTCTAATATGGAGATGAAAATATTATTATTTTATGTTTGAAATTTTTTTAAAAGAAAAAAATGAACAAGGAATTACATTTGATATTAGTATATTTTTTTAGGATTTTTTTTTCATGAAGTATATGATAATATTTATAAATTGATTTTTTTTTCTACAAAAATAGGATAATAATACTCAATTTTGTTTTTTTTTTAATTTTTATTTGTAAATTCACGAATTGAAGAGATAGATAGATGTTCAATCTATAAAGATAAAACATTTGAAACAAAAATAACAAGAAACATTAACATGTTAACAGGACAAATTCGTAACACCTAATATCATATCCATAGCACAGCACAGAGCTGAACCATTTTATTTTCATATTTCACTACACTTAACTCTAATGCAGCCCTACCAAACCAGCACCATTGTAGATTTCCCCTCATGCATGAAGCAACATCTGATCAAAGTGCCAAACTCCTGAAAATGATTTCATTCATATGGGTTAGGATTGACAATCTATTCCGATCAATGTAGAACGAGAAAGACGAGCGGGCGGCCTATTCTTACCGTGTCCCTTCCCCACTCTTCTTAGCTGAGCAACATACTCCGAGATTTTCTTGATTGCTTCCACCTACAAAGTGTGAAGAACAATTGTGAATATTTCAGCTCATTTGTATTTGTGAACAAACATCATCATCAATAATTAATACCTGTTCTCCCAAAAACTCGCTTTCGACAAACTCGGTCAGCTGCACGTCGTTATTCTCTGCAGCTACCTAATGACAATGCAGATGATATCAACACATTTCAAACACTTTCAAACCGAGCAACACGAGGGATGGGATGAGAACGTGAAACCTAAACTCTACCTTGTGCAAGTGAAGCAGCTTATCATTTGTTAGCTTCTCAAGGGACAAAGCAAGCTCCATTGCTGAAAAGAGAGAATTCATATTATTACAGCCAATCAAATATCACCAAAGAGGAGAAAAAACAAAGCAAAACTAACCATATAAGGCATCTCCTTTTTGCTCATTGTCATATTCAGACAAGGGCTTAATCATACTCTGCAATATTACTCTTCCACCTCGTTTGTTCTAGAAAACAAGTCCAAAATCATTTAAAAAACAGATTCAAAAACCAACATCAACTTCACTCGATCATATCTACCTGATATTCCATCAATTTCTCAGCATGACCCCTCTCTTCTTCACTTGATTCCTTGAAAAACCTTTGAATAATACCATTTTTCATTTCAGTTTAAGGATAAAAAGATCAAGAAGAAGAACAACTCAAATGGGATGAGATGTAAAAACTCACTTGGCCAATCCCTTGAGTGCTACATTGTCTCTATCAAAGTAGGCAAACATGGAATGGTATACATATGACACATTGTATTCAACACTGTTATCAAATCATACCTTGTTAGCTACAGAAACATCAAATCAGATAGAAACAGAACAGAAACTCAAATGGGTTCAAATGATGTATCTCACAAAGGCAGATCAGAAAATATTGAAAGAATACAGCAGAGAACTATAAAACCAAGCACCCAAATCTCTTGAACAGAAGATCATCACCACATAAAGACCCTTTCCAAAAACAGAACAGAAGCCACAAAAACCAACCAAATACGTGAAAACAATACCATCAAGAGAAACCACACGTACGAATCCATCTCAAAAACAGAACCAAACTCACTTGATTTGCTCGTTGATTGCAGCCTCACAGGCATCGCTATACTTCTGGCGAGCAAGAGAGATTTGAGGGGCAGTAGGAATAAGACTCAACTCCTTCTTGACTTCTTCAAATGGCTCGAAAATCACCCCCGTCAATGGCCGAGTGTTGGAACCTCCTTTCGAGGCCGAAATGACCAATCCACCACCATTTCTGGCCGGAGAAAGCTTCAGAATCGAAGAATAAGAAGAAGAAAACAAAGGAACAACATTCTCCCCGCGGGAATTAACGACAGAGAAAGCGGAAGGAGCTGGAAGAAGCATGATTGACGAACTGAAAAAGACCAGAAATGAAAACGAAGATTTGATCTGAGGGTTTGAGAGAGAGTGCGTGTGGTGGAAGAGGATGAGGATGTAGATGGAAGAGGAAAAGAGAGTTGGGGGAGAATATAAAGGAAACGAAAAATGAAGGCAAGCCGTTGGATTAAGAGAAACGTGGACGGCTGAGATTGAGAAGCGGAGACGAGCGCGTGTCAAGCTCATGCCCTGTTGTGAAATGGATGTGGTTACTCTCTCTTCCGCCGTAAATATCTCGAGACTTCAGATTTTCCAATTACGAATCTCTCCTTTTTCCCTATTTAAATAATTAAATTAAATTTTTTATTTTAAATTAAATATATATTTTAGTTTGCTTTTTTTAGGATAAGGTTTAATATTATTAATTATGCATCAAATTGACTATTTATATTGATAAGGACAAAAAGAAATAGAAACAGAATTAAAAAAAAATTGTCTTAGTGTCAAAATTTGATTGGTTGTCATTATATTTGTTTTTTTTTAAATTTAATTTTCAAAGTTTATCCTTTTTAAGAAATATGGAAAAATTCAAACACATGCCTTTTAAAGTACTCATTCCTGGAATTTATCTCATTAATAGAATTATTTTCACAAAAAAATGAAATTAAAAAAAAATTGATTAATATTTGTATTTTTAAATTGAATAATGTAATGAAAAATAAAATTAAAAGTTACCTTTAAAACTTAAATGTGCTTTACGTATTTAATACAACATACACATGTCGGTTCTCTAAAACAATAAATTAAAATATAAAATATTATATTGAAAATAGTTTTTAAATTTAAATATCCAAATTTTTTAATACATTTTATAATTTAAAAACAATAAAAACTAAAATACTTAATTTATTTTATATATATAAAAAAAAAACTTTGTCTTCTTCCTCCAAATCTAGAACTTTGGCGATTCGCAAAGAGTCCTATTCCACTTTTTTTTCTTTTAAAAAAGTATTTTGAAAAATAGAAACTTGAGAAAAGTCATTATTATAGAAATGAAAAATTAAATATGGTCGACAATAATTACGATTAATTAATTAATTGGCTATGATCCATTAAGGTTAATAGCATTTATTCATAATTAATTTAAGAAAAATATGTATTATTTTCTAATTAATACTATATAATTATTGTTTTCTAAAAGAAGAATTAAATATTAAAAATGCATTAATCTCCTTGGTGGATCATTCATAGGGCCCACAATTTATTTCTGAAGTTGGGCCTTGGCCCAAATCAAAAACCCCATTGAGATTTTGAAAGCCCAGCTTGCATATAGTCCAAATAAGAGAACGGGGAATTTACAACCAATAATATTTTCAATATATATATTAATAAACTATATTTGTCAACCAAAGCATAGAATTGCAAGAATTTAATGTAATGTTTTTTTTTTTAATTAAAAAAATATAATATTATTTATCTTCAAGCATCTTTCACTTGTGGATATGATTTAATTTATGTAGAAGACGTGTGAGATTTAGATAAGGGATTTTTTTCTTTTAATAATTGATTCATTAATTAATTATGTCTGAGATTTGGTTTGGAATCATGTTCTTATGAGTTGTTTTTTAAATTATTATAATTTTTGTAACTATTTAGGTACAATACTCCACACATTTCAGTGCATTCCCTGCGACATGATCACATTACCTACTTCTTGTTTCTTAAGAGTAAATACTATTTTTACAGACTAATACGAGTCTTTTCAGCTTCTTATTTCTTAAGAGTAAATACTATTTTTACAGACTAATACGAGTCTTTTCAGCTTGTCTTGTTCTCACTTACATGCATTCCAGAAAAACTCTTCGGAGTTTACGACAACATAGAACTACTTCAACTATAATTAAGCCACCGAAAAAAATGCACCTTGTTGATATAGATGACGACTTGCAATTCTTTTAAGTCTTTTATAAGCATTCTATTCTTAAGATTGCGCTCATTCGTATGTGATCTCAGTTCATTTATGTATATTTATTTTATTGGACGGTGACAGTTTAGTATACTTGGGTATTTTAATAAATGGACTAATAAATATGTTTTTGATTAACTCTTAAAGAAAATATTTCTTTAACTAATTTTTGAAAAATATATTTTTCTCTCTCTCACGCATTGTTGTTGTTTGTGATCTGATGATAGATACGGAAGCAATCATATTTGATTGGGTCAACTTCACGAGGACTGATTTCTTTTCTTTCTTTACCTAATTAGCACTTGGATTATATTAAACTACAAACAAACATTTCCAACCATATTTGATTTGGGTTTTATAAATGTAAATCGACAGTTACGATCGCACGTGATCTTGACCCGCTCACGTCTTAAGATACATCAATAAATAAAATGCTTAAAAAAAAACATCAGATTAAACTTTAAAATTAAAGATGTTCATTTAATCTATGAAGCTGAATCTTCTCGAGGTTCGAGGTGGAGGATGGGGAGGAAGCAAGAAGAAGTTTCTCATATTCTCGGTTGACCCAGCTGCAATTCCCTACTTGCCTCACATATTGCCCGTGTCAATGACTGACTCAAATTCTAGTTAACTAGCGAGTAATTGGGATATAGTCACTGATTTTGACAATATTTTTACGAGAGAAATTAAATTATTAAATTTTAAAAATTAATATAAAATTTATTTATTTTTACAAAATATATATATTTAAAAAAAAAACCAATTATTAAGTAATTATCATCTTTATTTTTGTTGGGCAATTAATGTGTAATTATAGGTAATCTATTTTGGCCACACGCGTTGGTCTCCCATTATAAATATACACTCTTCAACCTCTTTCTTCTTCAACAATATTAACTCTCTCTCTCTCTTTCTCTCCGCCGTCTGTTTCTCTCTTTTAATATTTTCCGGCAAAAACAAGGAAAAAATGGGTGGCGGTTCGCCCTGCGCGTCGTGCAAACTCCTCCGGCGACGGTGCGCAAAAGAGTGCATTTTTGCCCCTTACTTCCCCTCCGATGACCCCCACAAATTTGCTATTGTTCATAAGGTTTTTGGTGCCAGCAATGTCAGCAAAATGTTGCAGGAACTGCCGGTGCAACAGAGAGGCGACGCCGTGATGAGCCTAGTTTATGAGGCAACTGCAAGAGTGCGGGACCCAGTTTATGGTTGTGTAGGGGCAATTTCGTACTTACAAAACCAAGTTTCTCAGCTACAAATGCAATTAGCTGTTGCTCAATCTGAGATACTTTGCTTCCAAATGCAACAAGACCACCTTGTTTTCCCAAATTGCCCTCAGATCTACTCCGACGAGAAACCGCCGTCTCTTCTACTCCCGCCGCCGTCTCCTCCGCGGTCTCAGTGCTTCAACTTTGCTTCCTCTCCGAATATAATCTACGACGCCATTTTTGGACATGACATTGTTTCTTAAATCTTCATCATAATTATAACTTTATCCTTTTTTAATCTCTCCTTATAAATTTTTAATTAATAAAGTAAAAAAAAAAAAAAATTCTACTAGTAAATTTAATGGTGTGTAAGAAAATGTTTACTGCAACTAAATATTTTTTTAATCTCTTTCCTAATATATTATTAAACTAAAGAGATAAAAAAAAAACACTTTAAAAGTAAAAGAACCAAATTAAAGATATAGTAAATTATAGATGCTATTTGCGGAATTAAATTTAGAAATTTTGGAAATATATTTATATAGTACATAAAATTTATTATAATAATTATTATTATTTAACTACTTTTTATTAAAATTAATTTCAATAAAGACTAATTTTTAAAAAAATGGAAGTAAAAGAATTAAAAATAAATATTTAAAAATATAAAAGAAATATAACATCGAGTAAATTGTTATAAGGCTAAATTACTAAATATACCCTTAAACTTTATATTTTGTTTAAAAAGATCAATAATACTCTTAATTTAAAAAAAATCTAAAAAAATACTCCATTTTAAATGAAACCGTGAATACTTTGTTTCAAAAATACTCTTCAATTTTTTCAAATAGTGCATTTGAATTTTAAAAAGTTTCATTAATACTCTAACTTATTTAAAAAGTTTAAAAATATTCTTACCTTTTGTAGCAGCTCATACCCAAAAATCCAATTCTACACATGATGATCTCGACATTCCTCTGCATTCTTTGTAACATTGTCACGTTACTTATTATTCACTTCTGAGAGTGAAAACTATCCTCATAGACCAACAAGAGTCCTTCCAACAGGATCTTTCCTCACTCGCATGCTCATCTAACATAGAATTGTTCGAGGCAAAACACACGGTTCCTATAATTGAGGTACCGAAAAGGAAGATGCACCTTATTCATATAGGTAATGACTTTTAATTCTTCTAGGCCTTTTTCATTCATATGTGGTCTCAATTTATTCATATTCTTTACTCTAGTGTCACACCGTTATTAATATGTTAAAAAAATTTCCATAAAAATTTAAAAGTAGCTCGATGATGAAACTATGAACATGTGATAAATGTCAATGAAAATGCTTACCTATACCAAAATAATAATAATAATAATTATTATTATTGTGATTGTCCCACTTATATGTATATCTTTTGAAACCTAAAATTTAAATACTAAAACTTGTAATTAAATCTTTAAAAAATTAATGGTAAAATAATTTATGAGAATAAAAAATAGTTATTTTTATAAGTTCAAATACAATAAATCTCGAGAATTTAAAAATTAAAATAAAATGTTTGAACAAATTTGAGCATATAAGAATTAAAAATAATTAAAAATGGTTGATGTGTTTCATGTTTGAACCATTTATTTATTTCTAGCTCTTTACTCATGACTTGTGATCCATTTTCTACGTGTCCAAATTTAAATCATATATATATATATATATTTATATATTATGGTACAATGAAAATGTTTAAGAATTATTCATTTTTTTTTTTTTTTTTTTTTAATAAATGAAGATCTTATTTATTAGTGGGATTTAACTATGAAAAATGAAAGTATGATGCTACCTAGCTACTTATGTAGTGCAGTCTAGTATTATTGATAAGACACCATAAATAATTGCTATTTGGCCCTTTGTCTTTATTTAATTATGAATGTTGTCAAAAAGTTGACCAACTTTCAAATTTTCATTTCCTTAAAATGG